GGAACTTACCATGTTCATGCTATTTAGATTTGGAAAGCAGTTCTGTCTTTACATCACATCCAGAGGATGGCTGATGCCATTTTTAATAGTATTTGAAATGCAGAATGCCTCCACTGTAATATTAATTAGCAGCTCCAGAAAGAAAATGGGTTAAAGAGTGATTTTGAAAAAGAGAAATCCAGAAAAGACGCTAAGCACAGAGGTGCTCAGATTTAAGATTGGGAACAGATTCCCTATTGAAAAAACAATGCTGGTATTGCCAAAGTTATGTGATGTGGGTAAGTTAAGTACCGCTTGCTTTGCCTGTATGCCTCAAACTAGGGGTAACTAGCATAAAGGAAAATCTTTACTTGTTTAGAAAGATCAAAGAAAATATTTCATTGAAAAGCTAAGTGATTAATTCTACAGTCCTGTTGCACTCGACTACCTGGGTCCACTGTCTAGAATGGCAACTCAAACTGTGATCCAGACTACAAAGCTCTGCCAAGCAGTCTGAATGGGTATGCTTATAATACTTTCATTGGGTATGTCTACACTGTATTCCTCTTTTGAGAGAGGAATGCAAATGCAGACAAACGAAATTGCAAATGAAGCTCAGATTTGAATTTCCCGTGCTTCATTTGCATAATCGCATCTGGACGCTATTTTGAAATACCCTATTTCAAAAAAAGAAACTCCTTATAAAATGAGGTTTAAAGGTAATTCTGAAAGAAGGATTTTCTTTCGAAATAACCACATCTAGAATGTGTTTCTTTTCTTGAAATAGTGTATTTCGAAATAGCACCCAGATGCGATTATGCAAATGAAGCACGGGAAATTCAAATCCGCGCTTCATTTGCAATTTAGTTCATCTGAATTTGCATTCCTCTCTCGAAAGAGGAATGCAGTGTAGACATACTAATGAGAGTATTATAAGACCCAGTAGTCACAGGGCGGGACTATGCCAGGAACTCTATCTTATGAAGCAATCCACAGAAAGAAGAGTTGAGGCAATCACTGGTTTAGAAGAAATTGAGGATAGCCAGCTGTCTATTTCCCCCGACCAAAACTAACTATCAGGCACAAATAGAGAGAAGAAAAAATGTCCAGACCATTCTAAGTGATGGGCTATGGAACTAAGCAAAAGTTGTTTCCTGGTTAATGGAAAGTTAATTTAAAACAGAACTTTTATCTGCCAATCCTGATGGAACACTAAGGCTCATTAAAGCTACTTTTGGATTTATTCATGCCTTTTGCCTGACAGACAGACAATCTACCACCAAGAAAGGAGAGAGTAATTAACTTTGTTGCCATAGCCAGCCAAACTATAACTTATATTCAGAAGACTACAAGGACTGGATGAACACCACAGACACTGTCAAGGGCAGGGTCAATGTCAGAACCACCAAAAGCAAGAGAGCTTCTGATGCACTGGCATCAGATTTCACAGCTAGTTGTCTCTCTCTCTCTGGATATCTCTACCTTTTCCAGAGAGGCTATGTCTACACTATGGGGCTTTATTGGAAAAAAGTACGCAAATTGCAAAGCACAATTTGCGTACCTTTTTCTGATAGTTTTTTCGGAAGAGGCCTTTCCGAAATTTGGCACATCTAGACTGGGCCAAATTTTGGAAAAGCCCCCTCTTTAAGAGGCACCCGTCTTCCTCATAGGAGGAGCGCAAAAAAAAAAAAAAAAAAAAAAGGGGGCAGCGGAAGAGCAGACGCATTCCCTGGACGTGGTGGAGATTTTCCAAAAATCCCATAGTCTAGACATAGCCAGAGAGAGAGTGAGAAAGAGAATCTTCAATTCTTTTTGCCCATGATTTATAGGGCACAACTAGGGGACTTGAATAAATCACTCAGCTTCCAAATTTCTGAAGGAGCAAAAAATTAAAAAAATCCACCAAACTAATCTCAAAGGGAAGTACTTAATTAAACAATGAGAAGGTGCTGGACAATCTGCCCTCGTTTTCGCACTGGCAGAGCAAAACCCCATGTAATGGGGAAGAATGTACAAAACTTCCCTAGTTAAACAAGATAACTTAGATGATTTCGGGGGGGGGGGGGGAGAAGAGGGCAGAGAAAGAGGAAGTAGCAGGGAGGAACCAGCTTCACTACTAGGCTATAGTTACAGAGAGTGGGACAAGATGAGCAAGTGGATAGGCTGACAAAACTGAATATGGCATTGACAGAAAGCTGTGCGTAAGGAGCGATTTAAAACCAAACCAAACCAGAAGTCTGCATGGGCAGCTGCTACCATTAGTTCTCTATTTCATTCATAGTCTCTTATGGGTAGGACCCTACCAAATTCACAGCCATGAAAAACACACGTGAACCATGAAATCAGAGCTCCTCAGTGAAATGCCGCTATTTGAGGGGAGGGAAAGGAGCAAGGCAAGGGGTGCCCAAGTAAGGAGGATCCTACCATTCACTGGGCTGCTCCAGCTGCTAGTCCACTAGATTGGGAAGGGAAGGGATTGACCTCCGCTCTTGGGAGGAGATCAGATCCACCGCCAGGCATCTAGAAAGATCTGTGGGTGTACTGCCTTAAGAGCTGGTCTCTGAAGGCAGCAGTCACCAAAATTCCTGCAGCTAGAGATGACTCTGATCTCCTGTGTGCTGCTGGGACTGTCCCACCCAGGGGCTTCTAGCTGCCAAGCATAGCTGGTCTGAGGAAGATCCGAACATCCTCTTGCCCTGCACAGCAGCTCTAAGGAGGCGGCGAGAGACGATCAGACTCACACCCCCTCCCCGTCCCTGCTCAAGGCTGCAAGAAGCTCTCTGGCTGCTGCCTTCTGAGTCCCTGCTCTGCAGAAGCGAGTGGCAATTCCATGTCCCCTCCACACCAGCTCTGCCACTCTCCCCAAGATCTGCTTTGGGTCTGGACCCCCATGATTACAACACTGTGAAATGTCAGATAAACACATGGAAAGGTGAAATTGACCTATTTTAAAATAGGGTTACCATATGATTTCAAAAAAATACCGGACACACACACTCTCAGATGGGGGGCAGGGCGGGAGTGGAGTGGGGCTAGCCAGGGGAAATCGGGAGGATGGGGACAGCTGGCGGGAAGCAGGGATGGCTGGGAGAGGGTCAGGGGGAGCAGGGCTGCCCGGGAGGGAGGGGGAGAACCAGCTGGCAGGGAGAGGATCTGGCTGAGAGGGTGCTGGGGGAGATCATGGGGGGGGGGACGACCGGCCCAGACGCACGCAGATCCCGGGGTGCTACCCATCCTGCGCACGGTCCCAACAGGGTGCACGAGTGAGTCCAGCCCCAGGGATTCCATCCTGCCATGGCCCCGCCCCCCTCTACTGCATAGTTGCGTACTGCCTGGCTGGTAGACATGCTCTTGCAGTGTGAGTGTGTCCACCAGCCAAGTAGTACGCAACTACGTACTGATACTCGCATTAATAATAAAACGTACTTAATTAGAAAATACTGGACATTTATATGTTTCCCGGACAGAAAGCCCAAATATCGGATTGTCCATTTCAAAATCGGACACTTGGGAACCCTATTTTAAAACCCTTTGGCCATGAAAGTTTGCAAAATTGGCCGCGAACTTGGTAGGGCCCTTATGCACAAATAGGGCCAATTTTGCCCTGAGCTACACATACGTACCGACATACATTGGAATTGGATATCTGAAGACAGAATTTAACTCGGAAAGAATGCCCAGATGCCTAAGACAATTTTAAGCACCACGTTTCTGCGTAGTGGAGAAATGTTTTAATGGTCTGTTTTTAACGTTAGCTCTGTTTACAGTGTTGTGGATGGATCCCTTTGTGGAGCAAACTAGCTCTCTTGGGGACTAAGCAAAGTGGTCCCTTTGTGCTTAAAGCCATTCAAAAGTGAGGCTAACTGGTAGTAAAGCAAAACCATAATCTGATATGGGGAAGCACTTTAACATGAGTTGCTTGTGCAAGCTTCACAAAAGTTAAATTTTCTGACCCATTTTTCACGCAGAGGTTAATATCAGTATTTGCATTTTGGTTATTAGTTTTTTCTAATTTGTTGGCAAGGTACAGATATTTCATTATGCCATAGCACAAAATCCAGTCTGGAAAAATCAAATCACTGTGTATGGACTGTAGTATATCAATTCTATCATAAGCTAAATGAATCCATCCCCTTCAAATTACATGACACATGTAAATAATGTTTCTTAGACTAACAAATCTCTAATTTAGAGGTGTTTTTCTTAATTATCTACAGGACCCTAAAATCATTTTTGGTCCCAAAAGTTTAAGAAAATTGCATCTGTTTTTCTCTCTGTTTACAGGTACTTAAGATTTGTATTTAGAAAATGTTTTTCATTTGTATTCTGGCCTAGCTCATCTCAAAAACTCCCATAGTTGTGCTGACCATATATTCATGGTGTAATAATAAATATTTTGTACTCAGCACATCAAAGCCTTTGTATCTCATGTATAACCATATCAGACATTTGTTATATGATTGTACAATATACTATATTAGAGATCATTGTATCAGATTACTGTAAAAAAAGGAATTAATGTTAACTAGCCAACTGCAGTCCAAGCATGAAGTTTAACAAAAACCTTCTGTTATCTCTCTCAGTCTGGCAAAGTGCTATGCAGTTCTCCCTTCTTTCCCATGCAGTAAAATGCACATAACCTGAAGAGAGACCAAAAAGTACATAACATTGTAAATGGATCTCTTTCTAGGTCTCTAAGTAACCAGAACTCACTTAGGGTCAGCAATTAACTAGAAAAGCACAAGGGGACTGTGTAATATACCATTTCATTTCTTTTACTGATCAGCTAATGTGATACATTTTTGCTATGTTGAAAAGTCTTTGTTATTATATGACATACTGGATTCCTCTATTACTTGACTTCAGTGGAAGACCTCACCCAAGAAATACAAACATGGTGCTGGATCCTATGAATCTCTTTTTTGATGGTTTTGATAATATTTCAGTATATTCCTTTAAACTAACCTGCATGTCTACCCTAAAGATCACTGTGTTTAGTTTTTAAGATTGATTTATGAATATTCCAAACAGCAGTACGTACAAACTACCCCAATTATATCATCCCTCCAATATTTGGTACAGCATGTTGAAAAATAACTTATCCTATGGGCACTGAACACACCATCATTTAGCACGGTTAACCACACTGAGTTATGGGTCAGTTTTCATATGACAAACATTAAAGCTAACCATCACTGGAATTAATTAATAAAATGGCTGTTTTAAATACTTTAGAGTCACGTTTCTCAAACTGTGGGTCCTGCGACCCGGAGGGGGGGGGTCACAAACAACTTAGAGGGGGGTCGTGGTATCACAAAGTTTGAGAACCCCTGCTCTAGAGGATCATTAGAGCTCCAGCTATTAGACTCTCAACCCTGCACTCCCTTCAATTACAACTCTTAGTGAAAATGTAAAATATAACATTAAATATGGTATGATAAAAAACTTCTAACAGATTTAAAATATTTTAAAAATTGTAAGTTTCCTTTAATCTAATTGTTAAAACAGAATTTTAAAAAAAGATATAACTAATGTGGAATGTACTGCAAATAGCAAAGAAATTGGAGAATGACTTAAGAAAAACAGTTTCACTTTCTGGTTTTTATGCATCAGCACAAGGCTTGCATTGCCTGAGAAGTGAACAGTGCAGAATGTTCAAATTTAGAGCTTCCCCTGTTCCATTTGCAATTACAAAAATAAAGTTTCATGTAAACATTTCTATAACTTTAGGATTGTTAAAACTTAGTTTTGAAAATAAATCTACATTTTGCACTTAAAACTGACTGGACAACGTCTATGAATTTTTCTTTTATATTTATGATTCCAACTAAGATAGTGTAAACATCAACCCATACAGGGAATAGTTACACATAAATACAATGCTACAAGTCTGCGGAACAAAGATCTGGTGTGAGTATATATAATTTAACTGACTTCAATGACAATTTTACTCATGTACATCAGGTTTGAATTTGACTCCACTAGGGGGTGGTATGGTGTTGTTCCCATCTACAATAAATGAGAAACCTGTTGTAAATACTTATCCTTATGCCAACACAAAGGAGAGACACATGAATCAGAGCGTACAAGGATATTGGTGAAGTCTCCCTAATAAAATTTGACTGAGGTTCTAGACATATTATTGCAGAATTCAAGTTCTCCAACAAAAGAATACAGTCTTCTCTTCACTAAAAGTTCAATGGAAGTGAGAAAATTTGCGTTAGGAAAACTGTTTATAAATATAGGAAGCATAGAGAGGGAAAACAATAGGTTCAACCATACACTTTGTAAAATAAGCTTCAAAGGAACATTAGAAAAATGATTTATAGCTATGATTAATTTAGTCATCTAAATTTTACCTACTACCAATCAATTTTAATTTAACAGAACAACCAATCTAAAACCAAAATATGCCATAAATGTATTCATCTTACACAAAACACAATGTTGCAGTCCTGGAATATCCTACAATATATACATCATGCATTTTTGGTGGCTCCTGATTTCCTTAAAATTCCCAGATGACTGAAACCTCAGAAAATAATGGACCTTGATTGGAGTGTAGAGTCTATTACTTGACAACCTCCCCAAAGTATTTCATGAATGAAAATCATGTAATACATATTCAAACATGAGCAGATACCTACATCCTAGTGTTGGATGGGTTGCATTAATTGTGCAGCAGGTGAAAGTGCTAGTCTTTCAATGAGTAGGAGCCCCAATTCAAAATCTGGCTGAGGTCATACATGAAATGAGTTTGGTGGTTTTAGTATAGTCCATAGTGCATCTGTCCATATCACCAATCGACCAGCCCAAATACTGAATGGGATTGCCTGTTTCAGCTTCAAAATGCACCAAGAACAGCAATGTGGGAGGTCTTGCAGGTGAGAAGTGAATTGCATTGGCAAAGCTGAATGAGGAAGTATATATAGAGTTGGTATACAATAAAGCTGGTTTATGTTATTGCTATTTGTCCCTCACTTTCTTTTCATATGCAACAAAATCTATTTAATTTTTGGAGGATTTTTTTTTAACTGAATAATTAATATAGTGTTGATCATAGCATTCTTACTGGATGATAAAATAGTGGCAGGGTGTGCATGTCTCTCTAGAGCTGGTACCTGGAAAGAAACTATACAAGTGTTTAATCTAAAATATTAACATACATCATATATATATATGCAATTGTTGTATACAGATTATGCTTCTGAATGGCCAATAATTATAGCTTTCAAGCCAATAGCTTCTGAATAAATGCAGACTTCTCTCTCTCTAAATATAAATGGTCAGCTTGTCTCTGCCAAGACTCTTCCCATAAAATGAAAAACTTCAAACTGTATAAACTTCACTTGATGAGACAAAATAAAATGTTACAATTGTCTATCCCCTCTTTTGTAGCTTTCACGCATCAAGACGCTGAATCTCAGGGTGGTGATCTACTTCTCTTGATTCTGTCCGAGCACGAATGTAGTTGCTTGTCTGCCGGCTGTTCTGCTGACTGCTGTTCATTCTCCATTTTTTAACAGCTAAATACATATTCACAGCATACACTATCATCGCCAAGAAACCAAATATCTAAAAGAAACAGCAGCAAAACTTTGTCAAAGGCAATCTTCCAAATAAAAAATGGTAACAGTTTCACAACAAAACCATTAGAACTTGGTTTTATACTTTAGCATTATTGTGGCTTATACAATCAGCTGCAATGTATATTATTTTAAATGAATGTTAGCAGTTTGTGAAAGACACTGGATCAATGATCTTAAAGACTGAAGGTCTCTATCAACAAAACACCCTTAACATGGTCAGTACAAGACAACGGTCATGACAAAGGCACCTCTAAAGAAAGACAAGATAGTTCTTTCCCCGTTGAATCCTCAACTTTTCTCCTGGATTTAATAATAAGGATGCCAAACACAGATTGTGGGGATGAGAGAGATGCTTATACAATAAGCAAATGTGATTTTGATCACTATGGACCTCAAACCAATGCTCCAACATAAATAACTTAATCCCACAATGAGAATTCTAATCTCGCTTACCTACTTTATTGTGAAGCAGTGCTACTCTATCATATGGCTCTGGATGAGGAAGAGGGAAGAGATCATTGTCCCAAGGTCAGGCCACTCAGTGCACAGGAAATAAGTTAATTTTTACTTCTCAACTTCACCCTGGAAGTTCTGTGGAGTAGTTATGTAACTTTAGCCCTTATTCTACCCAGCCTTACAAAACTCATTAAAATTTGCCAGTTCAGGCACAAATCGATTCACTTGCCCCTACGATGGATGTAATAATAAAAAAATTATTACTATTTTACTAACCAATAAAAAAAGCACATACTAAACAGCATGCAAGAAGAATTTTGCAAGACCTTAACAACTGTAAAGTGGGTCTGATTTCATAGCTATAACCTTTTATGAAAAATAACACCACCACATTTACAAATGTCCATTCAAAGTTATAGAGTATAGGGATGTTAGATAGCATATAATTGAATAGTTGTGTAACAGCATCACATTTTAGCAGTTACACAATCATTCGATAGTCCCTGGAGTGGGGCCAACAGCAAGCGTACTCCTGGCCCCAATCCCGGGGAGCCCTCTGCCATCCCACACTGCTGCCTCTCTATTAGAGGCAGCAGCACGGGCTGTCAGATGGGAGCTGGTCCATGACCGCAACCAGTTTAAAAAACAGCTCCTCATGTAGACAGGCTCTCACTTGCTGCCCTGCCGCTGATACAGAGGCAGCGGCGGGGGGGGGGGGGGGATATTAACTGATAAGCCCAGACCATCAGTTAATCATGTAGTCGTCTACACGCTGACATCCCTAATAGAGTATCCAAGCAATTAAGCCTAAAATTTAGTTTCCTTGGCTCTCACCATTAAATCTCTGGGGGAGGATTCATCCAATATTTCTTTATGTCATGGGGGAAAGCTGATTTCCTTGAAATTGAAACACCGCTACTAGTAAAAAAATGTGTCGATGATAACCATTAAAAATGTATAGAAATATGTGAGCTAGCGTGAGGAAAGTAGCCAATGGGATGCAGGGAAAAAGTCACCCTTCACTTCTGATGAAAAATAACAGTGAAGTAGTAAAGAAACTTAAATTGTTTTCTTACCACCGCAACAATTTCTGCTCCAGTTTTATGGTTCAGAGCAGCCAGTACTACAGATGCAATGAAAAAGAAGAAAGTGCTGAGTCCAGTGTTGACAAGATCCTATAAAAATAAAGTTATTAGAATTACACCAAATCATCCTTGTGTGTATTATATTGAATGGATGAAACACAGAGGATCAGAACAGAATCTGTGTTAAGACTTCCCCAACTTTTATGTGGTTTATCCTTTTGCAAAAAAGGCAAGGACTCTCATCTAGGAAGCACATGACACTCAAAACATACATACACACAAATATATACACAAATCATTATAGATTCAGAATATGTTATACCAGTTTCTGGTCAGAGGAAGTATTTAGAAATAAAAAAGGACTGCTAGTACCAACAATGACAAACTATTTTATTACAGCTGATATTAAAGAAATCTGCAGCATTCCAACTGCTTAACCATAATGCAGCTCTCATGCACAACTCGCACGTCTGGCTCCAGCAGCTGATCAGAGCAGCAGTGTCTCACTGGTAAAAGTATGCCAGACCTTATGGCAATATATAATTAAAATGTCTGTATTACTTGTGCACAGTCTCTCTCATTTGTATATGTATTGAGTAGGCTCACTATATGTATTGTATATGTATTGGATGTAATATTCACACACTATCTACATATGTATACACACTTATATAGATACTGGACAGGTGAGTACATAATATGTTTATAGATGTCCACACACAAAAAAAACCCACACTTTCTTCATGAGGTTACTGGGATTAGAAAGAAATCTGATTGCTTTTTAAAATGTAGAAACCCTTGCAGCAGCAACATATGCAATTCAACTAACTAGACTACGTGTTGCTTAGCAATGAAATAATCATGCTGCTAAGCTTCCAGCATTCCAAATCAGGTTATTAACATGCTGCTGTGGACACAATTAAAAATTCTGAGCTAGCAGCTATTGAGAAGGGGGCTATTCCCTTCAATACCACACTCAATTGGCAACAGTTAAAAATCACATGAGCAAGAGATGAAGTACCAAAAAGCAGAGTGGCAGAATCATTTAGTTTATGAAGAATCCCTCATGTTATTTAGGGCACCCTACTGCATAATTTTAAGGGGAAAATCCATTGATATTGCCCTGGAATCTAGTTGCTCAGACAACTACGGTAAGTTATCACCAGCTTTTCAAGACAGGCAGACTGCAATTATGAAGGTAACTGAAAAAGGTGAGGAGTTAGGGGCAAGGAAGAGCATGGAATGCAGCAGCTGAGGACCGCAGTGTGGGGAAACCAAAGGAACATGAAGTAATTGGGAAAAGGTAATACAACAGTAACTAAAGGAACAGAAGGATCAGCTCTGTACAACCAAGGCTGCAGTGCAAATCATAGTTTTAAATTCAAATGCGGCAACCAATAACTACAGGTTGAATCTCCCAAATTTGGGACTCTCTGGTCTGGCAACACCCGTGGTCTGGCAAGGCCACGAATTTTTCTGGACCAAGAGTCCCAGGAACGGGAGTCAGCTCAGAGAACGCGGAGTCTGTGGAGTCCCTGCTGGGCCAGCAGTAGCTCAGCAGGGGACCCCAGTGTCAGCAGGGCCAGGTGGCATCTGGAAACCTCCACCCTGGCCGGGGAACCCCCGGTGTCAGTGGGGTCAGGTGGCTGGAGAGCCCAGGGCTAACAGTAGCTGGGGAACTCCGGGAACGCCCCCAGCAGCAGGGCTGGTATGGTTGGGCAGCTCGGATTGAAAAACCCCTGGTGGCAGCAGGGCCACACAGTGGCCTGGGAGCCCTGGCCAGGGAACCCCCGGTAGCAAGGCCAAGCAGCAAACAGGGAGTCCAGCCCCAACAGGGGAATCCCCGGTGGCAGTGACGCTGGCCTGGTGATAACAGCCAGAAAACCCCAGGAAACCCCTGGAGATACTGGGGCTGGTGGCAGCCAGGTGGGCCTGGCTGGGGAACCCCTAGCACAACTGATGGAAAGCAGGGTGGGGAACATTGGTTGGGCCAGCTTTAGTGGGACAGTGGCAGGGCAGGGTACCCCAGCCTCGGGAGCTCCCTGGAGAGGAGCCGGCAGCAGGGAAGGCAGGAGAGGAGCACTGACCTCCCTTGGTCTGGCAAACTCCCTGGTTTGGGACAGCTCAGGTCCTGAGGGTGCCAGACCAAGGAGATCTAACCTGTAGAACATAAAATGTTTTGGAGGTATTTCCCCACTGTATGATCAGTAATTAAAACGCACAGAGTTGTCCATAGTGGCCTCTGCTATTCATCTTTTCTACCTTCAGCTACTTTGCTTACCACTAATTCCTACTCCATCATTTACTGCAGCAACATTTTTGCAAAAAAGCAAAGTCTTGTTCAGTGCTGTTAAAATGGTCGTGCTTGGACTCAAACACATTTCTTCAAGTGGCTCACTCCACAGACAAGAGTCCTTAACTAAGCTCTAGCAATCTCACACTTTGACCTGGCCACAGTTACTGTGCTATGAAAGTATGTCACACACTAACACCCCAAACCATTTTCCGCCTTTCAGGCTGAGGATTTGGGAGTGGTGGGGAGAAACAAAGAGAGAACCGATGATAGAGGGTGCAAATCACCAGCATGATCTGTGTGCTCAGCTGGAAGATGGGTTACCACGTTCTGAACAAATCAGGGTGTGTGTTGCTTTCACTTTTAGCTCAAGTACAGTAAACGACAATCAAGTGTATACAAGGATCACTTTGGCCAGATCCTTATTTAAATGGAAGAGACAGTTTCCTGACACGTTGGAGAAAAATCCATTATTCACTACTGTTGCAACCTGTAGCCAGAACCAATGAACGCAGGAGAACTGCCAGGTTACGAACAAATCAGGGTGTGTGTTGCTTTCACTTTTAGCTCAAGTACAGTAAACGACAATCAAGTGTATACAAGGATCACTTTGGCCAGATCCTTATTTAAATGGAAGAGACAGTTTCCTGACACGTTGGAGAAAAATCCATTATTCACTACTGTTGCAACCTGTAGCCAGAACCAATGAACGCAGGAGAACTGCCAGGTTACCTTT